TCCATATCTTCACCCCTCTGTGCATAGAAAGGCTTCCTGCTCTCAATTCTAACCTGTTTACATCTGATTTTATAGATGTACGCCCTTGTAATGAACCTCGCTATCAAGGGGAAGAGTTGTCCACTAACTAACCTGTTGCTTTAAGTGTCAGACTGGCTCAGGTAGTTGCACTCTTACCTCTGAATCAGAACATTGTGGCTTCAAAAAGAATGATGGAGCTTTCTCCACATGTCCTAGATAGAATTGATCACTCACTACGTGGCTGTTTGTGGTATAGTATGGGAGCAAATTGGCTGACACCTTTACCTGTAAATACACAGTCACTACACTATACAGTAAATCTTATGAAGTGCTTTGAGATGTTTCAAGGACATCTGAAGACTCGATATATTGCATCCCATTCTCATTTTTAAGGACAACTCACCCTCACTACCCATATTATAACAGGCCTGGCCTGTATATTGCGACATTTTAAAATGCAAGCAACTTTTGGTTTTATAAAATGTTTTACATTTTATCTGCAGGGATTGTTGGCCGGGAGAAACTCCCTTCTCTTTTCAGAGAGTACCACAAGAAATTGAAAGCTTCCCTGAACAGGCAGACAGGTGTGATGGGGCTGAAGGATGGCACCTCCAACAATGCAGTGCAACCTCCAATGGTGAACTGGGGCATCACTTTGCTAATCCAAAGTCCTGGCAGTTTTCATGCCTTTATCATTTTGACGGATCGCTTTTCTGGGGATAACAATTCCCTAAAAGAATAAAAAAATAATAAATTGATCACTCAATCCACTAGTGTGTGTGGGGCACTGCTGTGAGCAATTGGCTGCTGTGTTTCAGCCACAAAATATACAGTCAATTCACTTTACAGTGTATTCTGTGAAGCGCTTTGAGACATCCTGAAGATGTGATGAGGCGCTATATCGAATGCAAGGATTACTGTTACTATTATTATTATATTTTCCATTTCTCCACTGTCAGAGGAAAAAAATTCCTAGAAAATCTTTTTCATGTGAGTTTTGCTTTTGTATAATTTGTAGACTGCCAACGGAATAACACTCGTAAACGGCCACTTCACATGGATTGAACCCTGTCGCCCTGCACTGTCCCCCAAAGAGTGGCCAAGTCATTGGATGCCTTTATGTTTACTTCAAAATCACTGGTAAAAGGTTTATGTAGCCCTGCAGATGTTTTTCAATTAGGCCTTTATGTTCCATAAAGAGTGCTGTCAATAGATCTATACAGCATACGCGCCTTGGAGGTCAGCCTGAGACTAGAATGCCTCAGTCTTCAGCTGTGCTCTTTTGCAGCGGAGGTTTAATAACCTGGGGCCAACTGTGATGGACACTTTCTTAGATGCTGTGGGCAGAAGAAACCAATCAACTGGCAATCACAATGAAGAAGAAAGAGATGCTTTTTGGCTCAAAGCTAAATCTGCCAACAACAGACATAATAATAATCATAAATAATAATAACCTTGCTTTGGTAGAGAACCTTTTTATAATAATAATAATCGTCGCACTTGATATAGCGCTTTTCACGTCTTCTCGACGTCTCAAAAGCCCTTCACAGAATATGCTGTAAAGTGAATTGACTGTATATTTGTGGGTGAACGCGGCAGCCAATTGCGCACAGCAGTGTCCCACAAACAGTCGTGGATTGAAAATGAGAAATTTATTATTGTTTTTTTTTGTTTGGTTTTTTTGGAGGGATTATTATTAGGCGTGTGGAGTAAGGAAACTTGGCCAAAGTTTCGCCCTGCCGAGAATTGAACCCAGGTGTCTCGCTTGCAAGGCAAGTGCTCTAAACACTGAGCTACAGGACTCCATAGTTTTCACAGTTTTCCCGTAAAGTGCAGTGACTGTGTATTTCTAAGAGAACTGCAACAGCCAACTCGCCCACAGCAAATGCCCCACAAACCGTTGAATTACCAATTACCAATTTATTGTCTGGGGAATTGACAGCTCGGACACCGGAGAAAACCGCTTCACTTTTTGAATAGTACAAACCAAGCCAGACCGGTTTAAGGATGCACCATGATTAGCTTTTGAAACAAAATAATAATAATAATAATAATAATCCTCACATTTGATATGGCGCTTTATCATGTTAATGAGACGTCTCAAAATGCTTCACAAAATATACTGCAAAGTGTATTCATTGTATAATATGTGGGCGAAATGGGGCAGCCAATTGCACACAGCAGTTTTCCACAAACAATCGTAGATTTAATGACCAAATTACTATTATTTTCAAAATAATTTTTTTTTAAGGGATTATTAGCCCCAGAAAATCAAGCCTCCAATCGACTAACAACCGGGTTATTACTCACTCCTAGGTAAACAGAGGAGCGTGGAGTAGGGAAACTTGACTAAGGTTTCACCCCGGCCGGGAATCAAACCCGGGTCCTTTCCCTTGCGAGGCGAGTGCTCTAACCAATAAGCTACAGTACTCCAATTTAGAAGTCTTGGAAGAACCCAACACGAGAATGAAACCACATGATATCAGCTGGATCCCTTTCAGTGGGGGTCGCAGAAGTAATTGACTGGAGCTTGCTTTGCATAGAACTGCTCAGTATATGAACATCCAGAAGCAGAGCTGCAAAAGCTGGCTTTAATAAATAATAATAATCTTGCACAAAAATAATAATAAATAATAGTAATCTTGCATTTGATAGAGCGCCTAATTCTTTGCCTTGTCACGTTGTTCTGTGTTCCTCGTTCTTATTTAAGGAGAATCATATTTTTTCAATACGACGAGACTCACATGTGGTAAAGCTTTGTGAAACAATAAAATGCGCAAAAAGCAATATGTAACCATGACAAAGAATTTTTGGCCTGTTTCAGTTGGCAGCACTCCTGCCTCTGAGTCAACAGGTTGTGGGTTCAAGTTCTCAGGAGGGAGTTATTGCCTTCAGTTATTGCCCGAGGCTCTGGAACTGCCTCCCTCACTCCCTTCGTCTCGCTCCCTCCCTTCCCATTTTCAGGTCTCTGCTGAAGACCTTTCTTTTCGACCGCACCTTTGGTCACCTTCCCCCCCCACCCCCCTCCCCCTGGCTCGGTCCCGGGATCCGTTACTGTAAAGCGCGCTGAGACGCCGTTCGGCGTGGAGGGCGCTATATAAATCCAAGTTGTTATTGTTGTTGTTGTTGATGAGAAGAAAGGGAGAAAAAAATGGAGTGGAAAAATAGAAACAAGATTAAAAACTTTTGTGATCACCAATATCTAAACTGCATTCAAACAGTTTTGGGAACTGCTTTGGTTCTCTTACTTACATAAACTGACCAAAAAAACAAGGAAATCACTCGTTTCTGCCTGTTCCACGTCTAACTTTTTGCAGGCATTGTGCTAAAAAAAAGAGTCGGTGGTGATATTACAAACTAAAGTTATTTCACTTGTACCACTTTTTTTTAGTTCTTGTTCAGATTAAAGACGACGAGATTGTCACCTCAATCCGCACCGTCAGGAAAGGCAAAGTGGACTTCACTGGCTTACAAGGAATTTTCACTTAAGTTTGGTGTGAGACCGACACTGACTTTACGCGAGAGAAATTTCCAAACCCTTGAGCTTTCACTGAAGACTCATGATAGGAATAGGCCAGAAAACCGTGTTTAGATCAGCAAATAGGACAAAGCTCCTAACAGTGGTGTATGTCCCAGATGTCCTCTTGCCTCTGTGTGTGTCTGTGTGTGTGTGTGAAGGTGCCCCAAAGCTTTGGAACTCTCTCCCTCGATCCCTCCGCCTTGCCCCCTCCTTCCCCTCTTTTAGATCGCGACCGAAACCTTACTCTTCGACCGTATATATGGTCACCTCCGCCCTAGGTCTTGGCTCGGGGTCAGGCTCCGCCACTGATAAGCTGTCCGAGACACTGCCCCGTGTGAAGGGCGCGATATAAGTGCAATTTGTTGTCGTGGTTTAGAAGTTTGCTGATCTCCTTAATTCGGGAGTCGCTTCCTGGAATCACATTATCACTAATATTCCGGGGCCAATGGTGGAATGTAGCCCCTATAACATTGCACTGGAGTGTCGGCCTAGAGTAGATTGAATGCTCACAGTCCTGATGCACAGTGGGTTGGCCCAGTAAATATTTTAATTCTGACGTCGAGAGAGTGGGTACAGTGAGGTGAACGGAGACTCTCTCTTCCAAATTATCCCAGTTTTACATTTCACAAGATTTTTTTTAAAATAAGGCCAAACGAACGTGCATTCCGTTCTATTCTCCGTTTTTGATTAGCAACGCGACAGCCCCTACCACTTTGGGAAGGTTGTCTCAAAGCGCTTCACAGGCAAACATAACCGTGAATTTCCACACAGCAAACTTCCACAGAAGCGAATGACCAATGTTATCTGGGGGATTGTTGGCCAGAGAGCATTGGAAGAGATTCCCCTCTTTTTAAACGATCACAGGGCACCTTGATTTAACGTCCATCTGATGAACAGCGTCTCTGACAACGTAGGCTGCCCCAGCACTGCATTGGAGCATCAGCCTGGACTACGTGAGTTCGAAGCCTTCATCTGGGGCTCAAACTCACGACCTTCTGACTCAGAGGCAATAGGTTCTGGCTCCCTGGAGGTTGAAGAAAACATTTTCATTTAAAATAACTGATATACTGGTTGGGTGAGCGACCCAACCATTTTCCCCGAAGGGCTTTTGATGTTATAAATCCAATGCACTTCAAATTCTGCAGCTCAGGTAAGTGGGAGATGCCAAACTGAGATGGAATTTTTTTTTCCACGTGAAGGAAAAAAGGTGCCAGACAGCGCAAAGTAAATTAATCCTGAAAGCGGTCACTGGTTATGTACAAGATATGACATATAAGAAATAACCCTTTGATTTTCAAGAAATCCTAGGAAAAGAAGTCTGTTTAAAGACGTCTCGAAACATCCGTGCACATTGTTACGAAGCTTAAGAAGCACATACGCCGCAAGAGGAATATTCTAAGGTTCTTTAGAAGCGACCGTCCGGATATTTGCACCAGTTTATCCAAAACCTTCCACCACATACATGATGCATGCAATATTTTATTAGCTGTTTTTCGAAGCCACATTTTACACAACGGAGGTTTCGGACTGCTGGATGGACTGGGCGCAGGCGTTCCGAATTGAGGAGCCATTGCCCGTGATTGACGTGCGATGCATATTGTCGTCAGCGTTCAGTTTACGGTTCGAGATGACACCCCGCCACTTCCTTTTCAGTTCAGTTTGCACCTGCGTTTCAGAAATGAGGAACGTCAATGGCTGAAACCAAACTACTGGGGAGAAAATTGCTACTTTAGGGGTTTTAAACACAGAAAGGCCTATTCGGCTCATGGCGTCTTTTTGAGAGGATCGTAGGAACAAGAGTAGGCCATTCAACAACAACGACGGCAAATTACATTTGCGTAGCGCCTTTCACGTCAGGAGGATGTCGCAAGGCACTGGACAGTCAGGGATCCGCACCTGAGCTGGTGGTTGGGATCAGGAGGGGGTGAGAGTGGGGGTAGGAGCTTAATTTGTGAATGAAATATCGAATAACTCCTTAAACCATCAGAGTAACTTACCTCGCTATTTAGAAAGCAATACAAAATTGCAACAACCAGGCCCTGCAAGAGGAGAACAATTGGAAAGTTAATAATAATAATCTTTGCATTTGATATAGCCTTATCACGTCGTTCAGACGTCTTAAAACGCTTCACAGCATATACTGTAAAGTGAATTGACTGTATATTTTGTGGGTGAAACGCGGCAGCCAATTGCGCACAGCAGCGTCCCCACAAACAGTCATGGATTGAGTGACCAAATTATTAGTACAAGTTTTATTTATTTATTTTTTTGAAGTGATTATTATCCCTGGAAAGTGATCCGCCAATCGACTAACAACCGGTTTCTTACTTACCGCTGGGTAAACAGAAGCGTGTGGAGTAAGGAAACTTGCCTAAGGTCTTGCCCCGTCCAAGATTCGAACCTGGATGCTCTCGCTTGCAAGGTTGGTTGGGGCTCCAACCAATAGACTACAGGACTAACTCCATTTCCTGTTAAATTACTAACCCTCAACCATTTAACAGGAATACCCACTCGCTGTCAGTCTCCGCGTCCGAAACCTGCATGCAATGAGAGTTCTAACCTTACCTGGAAAGATCCCAAACATAATTCAAATGCGATCTTATAGTTTGTAGAGACGTTATGTGGGAAAAAGGCAAACACCATGTAGTGAACCCCAAACAGCGGAATTAGGAGCAAGGTAGATTTGGTAAGTCTCCTGTGATTCATTTGAAAAAAAAACAAGAATCATTGATGTAGCATTTACAGTGTATGTTCCCTGGACAAGTCAAATGAAAAGAACGACAACAACTTGCAATTATATAGCTCACTTCACGCAGGATAGATTTTTGGAGCGCTGGTAAATAATAACAATCCTTGTATCTTATACAGCGTCTTTCACATCAGGAGGATGTCTCAAAGCGCTTCACTATATAAACTGTAAAGTGTAGTGACTTTGTATTCCGTAGATGCACCCAGTAGCCCTTTTGGACACAACAACAACAAAATTACATTTGTATAGCGCCTTTCACATCAGGAGGACGTCCCAAGGCGCTGGACAGTCAGTGTTTCGGACCCGAGCTGGGGTGTCAGGATTGGGGCAGGTGGAGGGCAGGGCGGGAAGAAAGGTGACCGAAGGCACGGTCGAAGAGGAGGATCTTGAGATGGGTCTTGAAGGAAGCAAGGGAGAGGGTGAAGCAGAGGGACTGTGGGATGGAGTTCCAGAGGGTGGGAGGGCAGAGCGGCTGAAGGCCCGCCCGCCAGAGCCTGCTGAGCGGAGGGAGTGGGCAGGTTGGTAGGGTGTTAGGACGTCACAGGGGGTGGGGGGGGGAGCAAGGCCATGGAGGCTTTGATGGTGAGGACCAGGATTTTGGACAAGGCAAGGTCCCACAAGCAGCCATGAAGTGAATGAACAATTTTATCTGAGGGATAGTTATCCAGAGCACCAGGGGGAACTCCCTTCTCTTTTCAAGTTGTTTCCATAGGATTTTAATGTCCACTTGAATAGGCAGATGGGACGAGGGTTTAAGGTCTTATTCCAAGGATGACACTTCCAAAAATGAATTGGGCTGTCAATCTAGACTATATGTGTTCAAAAACCCAATGTTGGGCTTAAAACCAGCACCTTCTGACTCAGAGGTGAGAGTGCTATCAACAAAGCTAAACTGATGCACGTAATGTTTGTGTCGTGACAATTTCTATAGGTGAACAGAGTGAAAGATTGAAAGGTTTCTTACTTGTACTGCAACTGGTCATTTCTTCCAATGTCTGGTGACCTTAGCTTCTGTACCAGAATTCGTATAATACTAATAAACAGGAGAAAGTTTAGCTGTAAATTAAATGAAAATATACACATGAGCCACATTCACTCACAAAAAGACAAAGTTACTTCAATTGTCATTCTTAATAATAACAGCAACAACAATAATAATCCTTGCATTTGAAATAGTGCCTTATCATTTAGTCGAGACGTCTCAAAGCATTTCACGGGATATAATGTAAAGTGATTTGACTGAGTATTTAATGAATGAAACGCTTTCATTATGATTTAATCAATTCCTACAATTAAATCTACAAAATGATATTTAACGCAGTGTTTCATTACATTCAGATGCACCTCTACTATTTTTATATCCACATGACAGATGCTGAACATCTAGTTATATCTTAGTTATTCTTAAATGAATTAACAGAATTGATTTTTAAGCTATTATTCAATGCACAATAATAAATAATCCTTGCAGTTGACAACCTTATCATGCTTTTGAACCATCGCAAAGCACTTCCCAGGATTTTACTGTGAAGTCTAATGACTGTGTATTTGTAGACGAACATGGCAGCCACTATGCACACAGCAATGTCGCACAAACAGCCATGAAGTGAATGTCCATGTTGAAAGCGTTAGGCGCAGCTAGTCGGGCAGCCCAGGCGAGGGTGAGAGCTGAAGAGGGTGGGAAGGGCACAGGTGCCCGAAAGGGCAGTCAAAAGATGTACATCTTGAGACAGGCTTCAAACGAGGGAGGGAGCAAGTCGTAGGGACCCCACGATTCGCTGAATGAAAGGAGCGGCTGAGTTGCTTTAGTTGAAGTAGGACTACAAAGTGATTTGCACACACAAAGAATTAGCTTTCATGATGCAAAATGCATTTTTATTGTGTCTTATTGTGTTGAAATGCCTCAAAGCATTTTATAACAATTAGTGTCAAGTGTAGTGACATTGTATTTGTAAGCAAATCCAGCATCTTATTTGGGCACAACAAAGTCCAACAAACAGCCATGAAATGGATGGCACTCCCTTCTCTTTTTGAATAGTACTATGGGATATTTAACATCCACTTGAACAGGGAGACAGAATCTGTCAGTTTTAAAGCACTCCCCCTTCAGGGCTTTGAGATGTTTTGGCAACATGATAAGGCACTATATAATAATAATAATAATAATACCAATAATACCAATAATAATCCTTGCATTTGATATAGTGCCTTGTCACATGGTTGAGACGTCTTAAAGCGCTTCACAAATTATACCGCCAAGTGAATGTTTTGTGGGCTAAATGTGGCAGCCGACCATTGCCAGAAGTGTTGCACAAACAGTCGTGAATTCAGTGACCAAATCATTCTTATTTATTCATTTTATTTTTTTAAAAGATTATTGCTCCCGGAATGTGATCCCCAACTGGGTTCCTACTTACTGCTAGGTAAATAGAGGCGTTGGGAGTAAGGAAACTTGTCTAAGGTTTTGACCTGCCGGGAATCATCTTGCTTGCGAGGCAAAGGCTCTAACCAATACTCGACAGGACTCCATATCAAATGTTATTATTATTATCGTTAATAATAATAAAGTACTATATGATTTGTGCTGCTGTATGTACCTGATTGTACTACATAGTCACTAGTTCCCAGTACAAGCTCATTAAGGAGCTATGGTAAAGAACCACACCTGCCTGTGTTTTACAGTAAAACTCGCATAAGACTTATAAGTCGTCATTATAAATTGTATAATTGGCTAAGTCTTACAATCACCGGAGTCCCATTCAGTTTTCTATCAAAGCCACTCAAGATTTATTTTCACTAGTCATATAAATCATCTCCTAACTCGTAACGCAAGTGCTCATGTGGCAACGGATCAAGAAGCATTGAATCACGGGAAATGCGGTCTTGATGACGTGCGCACTTACCGGTTGCATTGAATTATGCATCCACAGTGTCGATTATTGATGAAATCAGATTTTATATGACTTACAAGGTTTGCCTGTAACTCAGGACTTCCGAACGAGTCATATTAAATGTTGTGGTCCTGACTGATACAACATATGTGAAATTTGCTGAATATTTTGTTATTTATAAGGGATGATGCAGGTATTTGGAGACCACATTGTGCCCATTTTATTGATCCGAGATCACGGCATTACTGAATGGACAGCTCCCAGTGGAGGCAGATTGTGTCAACAAAGGTGCCTAAAAATCCCTGGACCTAAGTCTCTGCTACCAGTCACCAGCAAAAGTGTCTCTGACATTTTTTGGGGGAGGCTGGGGTGGTCAGCCGGGTATCTGACACACATGGAAACCCATCACCATGCTTAAAAATATCCAAACCAAACTGAGAGTTCCACATATGTATGCTACTCTAGAGATGGAAATTTCCCTGCGTCTGGAATGCAATGCGCACTTGGACCCTGGAGGTACACACTGTGCTTACCTATTTCCGGAGAGTATGAGGCGTAGGCGACATGATAAGGCATGACACCAAATGCTTTGATCATTATTTTAAGAAATATTATTCGATTCGTGCTGCTGTATGCTTGAGTTAGCAAGGCTTGGGAACCCCCAAAGTGTGCGTTGGGGTTCTGCTGGAGTTTAACCAGCTAAAACCACATGGCTTGCTATGGAAAAAACAATCACACTGTTTGTCCAGCAAGGTCCCCCCTACCCATTAAGTTTTCGGCTACAGGGTTTGAGCAGGAAGTATCTCTGACCCCAGTGACTAGTTGGCTTTCCAAGACTTGCTGACAAGCAAGATTGGCTATTCCGTCATCAGCAGCGCCCTTGAGCACTATGGCCACCGCCTGGCGTCAGATAATCAGTGGTGTGGACACCGGCTTGCTTCAGGTCCCCCCGCACTTCCCGCCTCACCATGGCAGCCGGGCATTCAGCACCTCTGCCCCCATCCTCTGGAACTCTATCCTGCAATCCCTCCGCCTCATCCCCTCTCTTGCCTCCTTCAAGTCCCATCTAAAGACCTTGCTCTTTGATCGTGCCTTCAGCCACTCTCCCACCCCCACCCCCCTTACCCTTCACCCCTCCTGACCCCAACGCCCAGCTTGGGTCCAAAAACCCCTGACTGTCCAGCACCCTGGGATGTCTTGCCAATGTGAAGGGTGCTATGCAAGTGTAATTTGTTGTTTTTGTTGTTGTCTTGGAGGTAGGGCTTCAGGTGGGAATTAAAGATAGATAGAGGTGGCGAGGAGGAGGGTTTGAGGCAAGAAGTCTATCTATAAATTTATTTCCTACCGCAGTCAAATTCTCATACGCCATAGATCCGAACCCGGTAAAGTTAAAGTTTTGAATTCATTACTTACTATAATAGACAATAGAATTGGCCCACTGATAGTCCACCATGGAATTATGTGACGGTTGGTGTCCCAGCAGCTGAATAACAATGTGAAGATATACAGGAGTAAATTACAGTCCAAACACTGCAACCAAAACAAGATGCCTTCATTGACCTTTAGAGGTCAGAGATATTAACAATAAAATAACAATAATAATCTTTGCATTCAATATGGGCCCCTTCAGTGTGGTTTTGATTTCTTATGAGCTTCACAATGTCACAAGAGAAGTACAAAGTATATTCTGTCGAGGGCTTCGAGACATCTCGAAGATGTAATGAGGCACTATATCAAATGCAAGGATTATTAAATAAAGAAGACCCTTCGACTGAACTCATCCTTCCAGAATACAACAACAAAAAAATTACAATTGTATAGCACTTTTCATGGTGGGAGGATGTCCCAAGGCGCTGGACAATCAGTGTTTTGTACCCGAGCTGGGGGTCGGGATCAGGGAGGGTGGAGGCCAGAGGAGGGGGAAGGAGGGTGATCGAAGGCACGGTCGAAGAGGAAGGTTTTGAGACGGATCTTGAAGGAGGCAAGGGAGGGGGCGAGGCGGAAGGACTGTGGGATGGAGTTCCAGAGGGTGGCGGCAGAGTGGCTGAAGGCCCGCATGCCAATGATGAGGCGGGTGAGGTGGGGGACGTGAAGCAGGCAAGAGCCGACTGAGTGGAGGGTGTGGACAGGTTGGTAGGGGTTGAAGGTTGAGGTGAGAGGAGAGGCGGTGGAGGAGGATAGAGTGGTCAATAGTATCATAGGCAGCAGAGAGGTTAAGGAGGATGAGGAGGCAGTGGGATCCCTGGTCTTAAATGTCATTTGTCACTTTGACCAGAACTGTTTCTGTGCCATGGATGGCAGGAGGGGTTCGTGAAAGGAGTGCCGGGAGAGGAAGGAGAGAAGCTGGGAAGCAACAACTCATTCCAGGACCTTGAAAAGGAAAGGGAGGTTTAAGATGGGACGGTAATTTGAGCGCAGGGTTGGGTCCAGGGAGGGTTTTTTTAAGGATAGGAGAGAAAGCGGCCATTTTTAAATGGGTGGAAATGGTGCCAGTGGACAGGGAGAGATTTACGATGTCTGTGAGTAGATGGACAAGAAGGTGGAGCTGGGAGGTTCCATATCCATCTGACTGTCCACCCATCACAGCATCCAGACGTTTCTTTTTAAATGAGTCCTGGCCGCAACCACGCTTCCTGGTAACCTACCGTTAACTACCCATTGGGTAAAAAAATACATCCTGAACATAGTTTGTCTGTCGTGAAATTGCCCTGTTCTGCAGTCTGGTGCTTCCCAAAGTATGTCCAGGGCTCACTCACTCTCTCAATATCAATTAAAATCTTGCTACCTCTATTAGGTCTCCTTTCAAGACTGAAGAGCCTTAGTTTGTCTAATCATATCAGTGATGCTGAGTTAGAGCAGAATAAAGTTACCATGCCAGCGTCCTCTGTTTAACATTAGTTCCCATTACTCACTCAGTGTCCTCCAGATAAACCCTTGTGAGGGTCCAGACTACTGTGAAGAGGGTTGGCATACCTAATAAAAAAATTGTGTTAATTTCAGTCAAACCATAATGTTATAACAATAATGCTTACATTCGGTAAAGCACCTTTCGTATTAGGTGGACGTCCCAAAATCCTTTACACGATATAGTATAAAGTGCAGCAACTGTGTGTTTTGTGGGTGAAGGTGGCAGACAATCTGTCCCACAAACAGCCGTAAAGCGAATGAACGATTTTATTCGAGGGGTTTGTTGGCCAGGATACTGGGAGAAACTCCATTCTCTTTTTGAATAATGCCAAGGGATCTTTTAACAACCACCTGAACAGGCAGACGGGAGTTCAGTTTAATGTCTCACCCGAAGCACAGCACCTCCAACAATGCAGTACACCCCCAGCATTGCATTGGAGAGTCAGCTTAGACCATATGAGTTCTAAAACCTGACACGGGGCTTGAACCCACAACCTCCTGTCTCAGAGGCTAGAGCGCTTCGACCAATTGAGCCAGATTGTCACTCTACGAAAGCAATTAGCAGTGATTTCAGATAAAACCGAATCCGATGACAATTTTTTTATATATATATATATCTATATGTACAAAAATCCATTACCCCATCCGATCAGAATGTAGACAGCAAAGTACTTATTTTCTGAGAAAAAGAACAGCAAGAGTGTTTGCAGGTACAGCCCTTCCACCAGCAGCCAATAGAAATTAGCGATGATGGAGTACTGGAAGAACACAAGTATAGCTTTGCAGCCGACCTATAATCAAACAAGCAGAAGAACACTCAGCCAACGTTCAGCTGAACAGAACTTGAGGCTGAAAATGCGGGTTGTGCAAATAGCCCACGTGTGGACTGTGAGCTATGAGCTAACCCTGTGTCATTTACACAGCTACCCGTAACTAATGTAATATACAATTACAATAAGTACAATTTGTTTCAGAATTGCCTGTAATCCCGTGGTTAATTCAGAAAAAGCAAATAATCCCCTGTATTACACACAGCACCTTTCAAAGTCTCAAAGTGCTTCACGGATTTACTATGTCAAGTCTCTCCATTGCTTTAGTCATGAATGATATTTCAATTTACAAGCAAAACTGCTAATCCCCCAATTCCGTGATCAGTCTGTAGCTCTACCAGATGTGTCCATTGAGAGGCCAGCTTCTCTCTGCCAGAGTGTATGTTATTTCTCCCCTCTCACACTCGAGTATATGGTATTTCTCCCTCTCACACTGGAGTATAGGTTAACGCGTCTATGTTACTACATTGTAGCTCTAAAGCATGAAGAAGACAAGTCCTCTGACCTACCATCGATGCTTCCTCACATTCAAGGGAACTGTCGTCTGAAAACAGGGCACCATCCTTCAGGAAAACAGATATTGCCCGCAAAATGAAAGAGAAAAAGAGATTCAGGTGGATGTAGTTCCGAGTACAATGAAGTTTTCTGCATTCAGAAAAAGAGAAATCATTTGAAAGATAAACCTAAAGTCTTGTAAGAGGTGAATTTTACAACAACAAATTACATTTGTACAGCGCTTTTCATGTCGGGTGGATGTCCCAAGGTACTGGACAGTCAAGGATTTGCACCCGAGCTGGGGATTGGGTAGAAGGCAGGGAGGGTAGGGGTAGGAGAATGACTGAAGGTATGATCGAAGAGGAGGTCTTGAGATGGGCCTTGAACCAGGCAAGGGAGGGAAAGAGGCGAAGGGACGGTGGGACGGAGTTTCAAAGAGTGAAAGGCTGAAAGCCCGACTGTCGATGGTTCGGTGGACAGGTTGGGGGGACGTGGAACAGGCCAGAGTTCGCTGAGTGGAGGGAGCGGACAGGTTGATATGGGGTTAGCAGATTGGAAGGAGCAAGGACATGGTGGGTTTGAAAGCGAGGATGAGGATTTTGAACTCTTATCAAAGGGGGAATGGGGGTGATAGGTTCACAGACATCGGTGCGGGAGAGGACACGAGCTGCAGAGTTTGAATAATCTGCAGTTTGTGGAGGAAGGAGTTGGGTAGACTGACAAGCAGGGAGTTAGCATAATCGAGCCTAGATTATAACAAAAACAAAGTAAGGAATTTTATACCATGAGGGCAATATCTCCTAGCTTTAAAATTTATTGTATGAATCATAATCTTGCTTATTTTAAGCCACAGGCTGTTTTAAGCATAGAAGGTTACCAACTGCTTTTTAGCCCTTGTTTGGTGATGTTGGGTTTCAAAGAGGACATTCCCAAATGCCACACAGACAAGAGCCACCGAAGTCAGATCAGGAGAAAACTACTGATCAATAGCAATATTGGAAACTTTATATTAGCTATTAATTAAGCATTTTAAGACTTTCTCTTATAAATACCCCATAGGATATCCTAAGGAATATTTAATGTCCACCCGAACAGGTAGACGGGATCTCAGTTTAACGTCTCATCTGAAGGATGGGTATTAATACCCAGGCAACACAATACATGCAGATGTACTCAGATGTCTTGGAGGCCAATTCTTCTGACCTCAGCTTGGACTCTGATCTCCAGCAGGGAAATAGAAGCCTGAAATTTCACATCGTCTCAGCCTGGAAGACCATTACAATGGCTAGGTGTAACTTAATAATAATAATAATCCTTGCATTTGATATAGCATCTTATCACATTATTGAAACATCTCAAAGCACTTCTCAGAATACACCCTAAAGTGAATTGACTGTGTATTTTGTTGGTGAAACATGGCAGCCAATTTCACACAGCAGTGTCCCACAAATGGTTGTGGATTGAATGACCCTAATTTTTTTTTAATCTCTCAGAAGATTCGTTTAACCACAGTCGAGGTTTGGCAGAAGTAGGAGCTGTGAATGGTGGTTGAGAGAGAAACTAATAGAGTTTCTGATGATTTGGTTCTGGACAACCAGACACGTATGAAATTAGCTAGCTGCCCATCTTTTGCAAATCTTGCAATTTAGATGCCCCAAATTCCACCTAGCCTTAGCCTGTAAGACCATTTTATTTTAATATTTAAGATCTTAAAAATTTCAGACAACAACAACAAATTGCATTTATATGGCACCTTTCACGTCAGGAGGATGCCCCAAAGTGCTGGACAGTGAGGGGTTTGAACCTGAGCTGCGGGTTGGGATCAGAGAGGGATGTTGGGCAAGGGGGTGGAGGCGGGAAGATGATTTAAAGCACGATCGAAAAAGAAGGTCTTGAGACGGGCCTTGAAGGAGTCAGAGGAGGGGGCGAGGCGGAGGGACTCCAAGATGAATGTGCCAGTGCTGTCTACCATTTGTTCACAAGCATCCGTATTTCCACGTAGACATTCACTACTGATGGTAAAGCAAAGAATCCAAGAGTAAGCCAGGTGCTACTCTGCAATGTGTACTGTTTCCAGCGGACCTTGAACAAGCCTGGATCTGTGTCTATCAAGGCGTAAGTAAAGGGGAACAATGTATAAGACAAATCTGATAAGAAAGCTGTGCCTCAGGGAAAATAAATTAATCATTTCAATTAAAATAATATTATCAGGGACATCTCTCCAATGAAACTCCCACTCGCTTTATTGAAGCGGTACGTCAGAAATATAACTCTTGTAACTGAGGGAACCGTGGGCCATTTAATATGACTAACAGGACAAAACACAATCAACATGGAAAGACCATGCCATGGGCGGAATTGTATTCCCTATTGTGTTCCTCTCATAGCCACTACCCCACCTCCCCCTTCTCCCTCCTCTCTCCCCCTTCCTCTCCAAAACATTGTGATGGCTGTTTGCCAGAGCTGGTAGCCCAAAAGCTGAACATCCTGCGGAAGCTATTTGGGTATCAAGTGTATTTAATGCGGGGATACTAAAATTTATTATATTATAGTAATAATCTGATATAGGACCTAATCACGTCGTTGAAATGTTTCAAAGCACTTCACAGGATATAACGCAAAGTGAATTAACTGATGTATTCTGTGGGCGAAACGTGGTAGACAGTTACCAAATGAAACCAATTTTATTTGGGGGATTGTTGGCCAGGATACCGGGAGAAACTCCCTTCTCTTTTCGAATAGTGCCACGGGATCTTTAGCATCCACCGAAACCGGCAGATGGGACCTCTGTTTAATGTCTCATCCGAAGGACGTAAATAATAAACGCAAGGAGAATAATCGTTTAAAATTAAAATTTAAATTAGTGGGGAATTGTAGAAAATTCTTAAATTCGGTCTTGATTCGGAAGCTGATTTTCCACAGGTTCTTTGAAGAAAGGAAAATGTTTGTTTTCAAATTCGGATTTGATTTCAGTTATTTGAATCAGTGAGTTTTCCAAAAATTCCACGCAATTCCACTCATCAGCTGGGAACACAAGTATAAGATAGCGACTAGAGGATCTGAGAGAGATTTTAGGAGGAACCACTTCACGCAGAGGGTAGTGAGAATGTGGGACTCTCTGTCCAAATGGTTCAATCAGATAATGTTGAGTGCATTTAAGAGGAAGCAAGATTTACACATGAAGGAGTGGGGAATGGAGGTGTTTGGGAGTGGGTAAGGAGGGGTAGAGACTTGCGTGGAGTATAAACAGTGGCATAGACTGTTTGGGCCAAATGGTCTGTCTCAGTGCAGAACAATCAATGTAAATCTTAAAATTTCTAAACAGAACGGTCTTATAGGCTGAGACTAGGTGGAATTTTCAGGGCTTACTGAAGGCAACGGTAAATGTACAATTTCTCACCTGAAGAGAATAAGAATAGCAGATCCGGTGGTGAGGGCAACCAAGGAAACGCTGTGTCCAAATGTATAAATGGCCTTCGCTAGCACGAAGAAAGTATCCTTTAATAAAACAGAGCGAACAGTCAGTCTTTCACGTAGCTGCATCATGAGCGATTGCAAAGGACAGTCAGTAAAGAGCACGCAAAGAGTTTTATGCAATATCAGCAGCCAATTTGCGCACACAGCAATGTCCCACAAACCGTCGTGGATTGAGTGACCAACATTTTTTACATATGAAGGCATTATTACCCCCAGATCCGCCAATCGACTAATAACTGGATTCCTATTTACTGCTAGGTAAACAGAGGCATGTGGAGTAAACAAACTTGTCTAAGGTATTGCCCTGCCCGGGAATTGAACTCGGGTCCTCTCGCTTGGGAGCTGAGTGCTCTAACCATTACCCTACAGGGCTCCACTGACACCTTTTCAAGTCTAGAAATTCTGAATATTAAAAGGGAACTACAGGAGTCAACTACAAGAGCATGGAGAAAGGGCAGGTAAAATGGGACTGAAATGATTGCTCTTAAAAGAGCCGGTATGGATATAATGGCCCGAATGGTCTTCTTCTGTGTTGTAAATTTCTAAATAGGTCTTTTACTCTCCTTGCATTTGCCCACAGAACACAAGGCCACTGCTCTTTCTGGTACGCCCTGTAAAGCAACTTTGGGATGTCCTCCCGACATGAAAGATGCTATGCCAAAATGCCAGGATTGTTATTACCCGTGCGTTCATCAGATTTCCCTGGCAAAGAGGCTAATGGTAGGACACCTTGCTCGCAGTTTATTATTCCGATGGCAGCCACTAGGAAGAGCAGGAGCGGGCCCTGAGGTTCCTCAGCCGAAGTGTCTCTGCCAAGGGTTTCCCGTTGTCATGATAAGTGTCTATTTTTAGCCATTGGCTTACGTTTTCAATCTTATCACGTGGTCGGGGAACTGGAGACATGAACCTGTGTTCCATCACTCTATGGCAGAGCACAGCTTTGCATCAATGTAAAACCTTGCTTGCAAGTTACCACAAAATCTGTTCTGGTTTTATTATTAAACAGTTTGTCCACAACCATAGGGGCTCAGCCTCTCCATCCCCCCATAGATCTATCTACAGCACACTGTGTAAAGCCCCCCCCCACAGAACATTCTCACACATCGAGTTTGCCCACAACCTGGATTCTCTTTGTGATGTTTAAGCACTTTGAAGTGTCCTCCTGACATGAAAGGTACTTCACAAGTGTCAATTGGATTGTCAGATACTTTCACCAGGAAGAGTAAAAGTGTATGACGGACACCACCTTGGCTGAAGAGAAGTAATAATCCTTGCATTTGATAATCCTTGCGCCTTATCGCCCACAAAGCGTACAGTCACCACACTTTTGTGAAGGGCTTTGAGACGTCCTTCTGACATGAAAGGCGCTACACCCAATGCAAAGGCTATTATTGCCATGATAATCATGTCGAAACACCACAAAGTGCTTCACACAGTTTTCCTATGAAGTGCAGTGACTATATATTTCATAGGGAACTGCAACAGCCAATTTGCGCACAGCAAATGCCGCACAAACAGCCATGAAGTGAATTACCAATTGATTGTCTGCAGAAATTGTCGGCTCAGACACCAGGAGAAAACCCTTTCTTTTCAGGAGACAAAACTTTTCGAATAGCACCAACCAAGCCAGACCGGTTTAAGGATACACCATGACTAGCGTTTGAAACAGAATAATAATAATAATCCTTGCATTTGATACAGCGCCTTATCAAACTGTTGAAAAGTCTCAAAGCGGTTCACAGAATATATTGTAAAGTGTGATAAGGCGCTGTATCAAATGCAAGGATTATTATGGATTTTGTGGGCGAAACGCGGCAGCCAATTGTGCAGCGTCCCACAAACAGTTGTGGATTGAGTGACCCAATTATTTTTTTGAGGGATTATTACCCCCGGAAAGCGATCCACCAATCGATTAACAACCGGGTTCCTACTTACTGCTAGGCAAACAGAGGCGTGTGGAGTCAGGAAATTTGCTTAAGGTTTCACCTTGCGCAGGAATTGAACCCAGGTCCTCTCGCTTGCGAGGCGAGTGCTCTAACCACTACACTACAGGACTCCCAACATTTTTCCGGTTGTAAACCTTTGGTTACGGTTGCTGAGCTGAATGTGTTCATCCTCAAAGTGACGTTTGTGCTGAGCGGTGTGTGTTTGTGCGTGTTTCGCGTACGCCACACAAGCACTAAATCTGTGTCGGAACCACTGTCTGATGTAGCCCTCGGCTGACGCAGGCTGAGAGCTTCTATGGCAAGGCTGAAGATCGACTGGAACATCAGGGTCTCTCTTCAGCTGGGGAAAATGTTAAAGCTGCCGTAGACTATGAAAGAGATAAGGTTGCATGTGCCTCCTGCTCTCGTATTGTTGGCAGAAATACTGCTCTCCGCTCCTGTCAAAACTGGCTTTGAGGGCACAACACAAACACCCTCGGGGGCTGTGGGCGAATTTCTATCTTCAGCAGCATTCACTTCTAGTTTTCAGGTTTAGCTGGCAGCACTCTCACCTCTGAGTCAGATGAACCACAACTGGCGTTCATATATTACACCCTTCACGCAGGATTCTGTCTCAGAGTGCCGTTGGTCATTGTGTGTCCAAGCACCACATCATGACTCTGAACTCATGCAGTCAATGTTGACACTGCAAAGCACTGCATAAGACGTTAAACTGAGGCTCCGTCTGCCTGTTCAGGTGGAAGTTAAATGTCCACAAATATCAGTGAAGGAAATCAAACATTTTTTTATATATGGGGGATTATCGGCCAGGAAACTGGGAGAAACTCTAAGGGTTAATTGACACATATGGAACAACGCTACAAAAGCCTTTGGAGTGCACTACAAGGGAGGAACGGATCAAGAGGCTCAGTGAGGTCACTAGCCATCTTTAGAATCCAGAGATGTGTCTTTTCCTCTATGAGCGTCCAGCCCCAGCCTGTGTTACTCTGCGTAACATAAACAGTTTGAGTTCACAGATGACAGCTTTGTTCGTTTTTGGCTACGAGTGAATATCGCGGAGGACAGAAGGCTTCCGGCACTGAACACTGTGTTGTGAAACTGAAGTGGTCTTGTACAGTGCGATTTCAAAGATTTTAAAAATTGTACCCAGATTTAGAAAGATTGTACAGCACGGAAACCGATACCCGTTGGGTTGCCTTGGCTTGACTGGTACCGCTCTCCTTGCTTGTCCCTCGTGCCCTCCGTTCAACCATCGGTGGCTGGACTTTCAGCCACTGTGCCCCAAAACTCTGGAACACCCTCCCTCAATCCCTCAGCCTCGCCCCCTTCCTTCCCCATCTTCAGGACCTTCCTCTTCGGCTATGCCTATGGACACCTACGGTCACCTCTCGTCTTCCCTCCGGCTCGGCATTGTGCTCCGCCACTGTCAAGCGCACTGGGACACTACCCTATGTTAAGGGGTGCTATATGAATGCAAGTTGTTGAATAGGGCAGTGTAAAGTCTGATTGTATGCAAACATTGAGGTGTAACTGCCACATTCAGTGTCAAAACTACTACAAGTGCTAATTATCACGTTACCGGGCATTCAGCTCCCGGCAGTGTCTCAGGCAATCGCTGGTGAAACGTTTGTGCGAAAGGGTGAAGTTAAACCTACTTAGAGGAGGAATTAAGATGGCCCACGGCAACTCCGAACCTGTCACTGGGCAGTTGCCAGCTTTTTGGTGATGGTTAAAATAAGGATGGTTGTGACAATAATACTTGCATTTGATATAGCGCCTCATCACGTTGTCAAGATGTCCCAAAGCGCTTCACACATTACACTGTAAAATCTATTGACTGTATATTTTGTGGGCAAAACACGGCAGCCAGTTGCGCGCAGCAGTGTCCCACAAACAGTCGTGGATTGAAGTGACCAAATTATTATTTTTCTGAGGGATTATTATCCCCAGAAAGCGATCCACTAATCGACTAACAGCCGGGTTCCTACTTACTGCTAGGTCAACACTGGTTTGTGGAGTAAGGAAACTTGCCCAAGGTTTTGCTCTGCCTGGGAATCGAACCTGGGTCCTCTTGCTTATGAGGCGAGTGCGCTAATCAGTACACTACAGGACTCCTGGTTCAAGGAACACCAGGTTAATTCAACCCGTGTTAATTATCACATTTTGTTTAAACATTCTTCAAACCTTTTTCTACATAAACATTTTTTTACGGCTGGCTGAAAGTCTGCGGTAGATTTATTACGGCCCGAGTGACAGACTAGCACATGCAGTAAAACACACGAAAACGATTCCAAAAACCTTTTGGAGATTTCGGTACACCCGATTACAATTGGTAATAATTCTTGTGTTTTTGTACAGTGCCTTCCAAGTCTTTGAGACGCCTCAAACCGCTTCACAGGTATCACCGTAAAGTGCAGTCAGTCGCTGTGTATTTTGTGGGAGAAAGTAGCAGCCGATTTGCGCACAACAACTTCCCGCAAACGGGCATTTTGTAAGCATTAAAGGAGAACGCAGAACATGGCATGAAGAATTGAGAAGGAACGAACCACAAATCAATGGCTTTAGCCAATGAAATAATATTTTTTGTCTGACTGATTTGGCTGAGGAATTTTTTTTTAATGTATGACTGTTTTGTATATTTGTTGGTGCAATGTCCTGATATCACGGTGCAGGCCGGATGTTCCTTTTAAAAAAGCCTCAGAATGCCTCCTTGTACTCCTCGACCTCTCTGCTGCCTTCGACACTGTCGACCATTCTATCCTCCTCCACTGCCCACGAAATATCAATTCACATTACACTTTAAAGTGCTCTGGGTCGCTCTCCTGTGTGAGGGGGGCTATATAAATGCAAGTTGTTGTTGTCGTTGTTGCAAGTTGTTGTTGTTGTGCAATATATTTGGAGTCCTGTAGCTCAGTGGTTAGATCAGTCGCCTCGCAAGCGAGAGAACTGGGTTCGATTCCCGGGCAGGGCGAAACGTTGGACAAGTTTCCTTACTCCACACGTCTCTCTTTACCTAGCAGTACGTAGGAACCTGGCTGTTAGTTGATTGGCCGATCGCTTTTCCGGGGGTAATAA